GAGATTTTTAAAAAAAAAAAAAAAAAAAGAAAAAAAAGAGAGGGTAATTTAATTTATTTTATTTTTAAATTCTAGTTAATGTAATTTATGTAAGATTTTTTTTGCTTTTCTGTCCTGAAAAGCCTAAGGGTTCTTCCGCAACATTGGTCCACAGAGGGTGAGTCTGAAAAACCTAAGGGTTCTTCCGCAACATTGGTCCACAGAGGGTGAGTCAGAACCTAAAATCAGGCTAAAGGCGTAGTCGATGGACAACAAGTGAATATTCTTGTACTACCTCTTGTTGGTCCTAAGGTAAGAAGGGGTAGAGAAAATACTTCGAGCCAATGTTCAAATATCAGGTGCTACGGTGCATACCTCGAGCCAATGTTCAAATATCAGGTGCTACGGTGCTGAAGTAACCCATGTCATACTCTCAGAAAAAGGTATGACCAACATATTTGATTTAGACCAATTAGATAGAAATTTGAATTATTTTTGGTGTTCAGTAAATGCGTGAATTTTTTTAAATGCATAATATGACCTATTAAATACAAAATTGAAAATTTTAACCACTTTCAAATGTAGTAATTTTTATCATTATATCAATAACATCCATCCATTCAATAACCACGTTTCTCGTTTCTCATTTCTCATTTCTCTATCTTATTATTAAGACTTAAGAACGCGCCCGTATTACCATATCTTTGCTAATAAAAATATATTTTGAATAAATAGAGATGTTGAAATTAAGAATAATGTATTTTAGAAAATTAAATTAACCTTTCAAATTTTCCTTTTCCAAGTATTTTCATGTTTCAACCTAAGGGCATGAAGAATGTCATTCCAAAGGTCATAATTTGCTTAGAAATCAAAACCTTCTCAATTAGCTTACACACTAAACAAAAACATTTAGAATTCAACAAAATACTTCTAACAATAACATTAGGAGATCATTAAGGCTCACCATCATCATAAAGCCATGGAGAAATGCAAAAGCAAGAGACCACAAGAGACCACGAGAGTATACAATCTCCAGAGGGCTACCCTCGACCAATCGACCGACCCATCAACCTCTAATTGAATGAAACGACAACATGGTTCATCGTAGAGCATTAAATTTACAGCAGTCTCAGCCAGACTTCGGTTTACTTCGTGAAAATGATGGTCTTGATGAGAAAGGGAAAATAACCTCATGAATGTTGTGTAAAAATCCGTGATCGTAAGTATTATTCTTGACAACCTGCACTTGTTCGAGTCGAGATCTACGAAAAATGGTTCTCCATTTGCTTTCTGGAGGCTTTCTTTCAGAACTCAGACCATCCATGCTTGCTCTTAAGGCTGCTGCACTTGCCTTGGCTTCACTTGTCTTCCTCTGCCAGCTGATGTACTCTTGCCACTTAAATGTCTAGCAGTACCCAAAACAAATCACCCAATAAGTCAAATTTGCAGCAAAAGTATAGGACAGGTGAAATATTGTAGTTGTTTGACAACCATTTTTAAAAGAAAAAAAATACATTTTTGGTCCCTTAATTTCTGTTTCGTCCTAAGTTTTAAAAACTAAACTCGTTAACAAAATGCTCCAACATGACTAGAAGAGTAGTTACAAAAAAAAACCTCAACTTCATAAAAATTACATCTCACATAACTAGAACTATAAATCACAAAAAATAGCCATAAAAATGTTGGAAGCTTACCCATTTCTAAGACTATTAGATTCCAAATGAACTTAGCTTAGTTGTCATTAGTTGTAATTGACATGTACTTCTGCGAGATCACACATTGGTTGGGGAAGAGAATGAAACATTCTTTATAAAGGTGTGGAAACCTCTCTTTAACAGACGCATTTTAAAGCCTGGAAGGAAAGTCCAGGAGGGAAAGCTCAAAAAGGAAAATATTTGCTAGCGGTGGGCTTGGGCCGTTACAACCCCCTTGAGGTCAGGGTTCAAATCGACATATTCAACCTTCCTTAAAAGAAAATGAAAAATTATTGAGAGAGATTTGGATCCACGATTTTTTAGACTTGAACCTTAATCTGATTACTTAAACCAACTCAGTCATTTCTAGAATACTTCACTTCCGAAGATTTTCTTCAATATTTGCAATCTTCAGTTCTTCGTTTCATTGAATAAGCTCTTCAGAGTTTCCCCTTACTCTATGAGCTTCTCTCCCTTCCTCCAAGTTTCAAATACTCGAGCCAACTTGAGTGTCTTTTGAGTTTTTTGAAACCAAACTCCTCAATAATTTGGACATAAAAGTTCTCTAATCTAGATCTTTAAAGAAGTTTTAAAAGAAATATATATTCCTTTCAATACCTTCTTTGTAACTTCTCACTTGGGAACATTGAGACCAATGTGGAGAATGAGCCAATTTACTTCAATTGTTATCTTAAAGACCCAAGAATCTTATACTCTTTTAATTCTTGATCTCAATCTCTAATTGAATATGAAGCAAAGATCACATGCTGAAGCAATAATCTTCAAAGCATGTTATAGGTAGATGCATGCCAATATATCACCAAGAGCTCTAAGATCTCAGAAGGATCAACTTTACTCATAGAAGCCAATGCTGAAAGATTTTTGGTTCCAATCCCAAGGACCCTATCCTGGAAAGAAGTCACTAGAAACTCAAGGGGTTCTGGTTCAAATATAAGTCGAAGAACTTGGCATCCACAACTATCTCATCCAGACCATTCCTATGAAGAAAGACCCTTCATAGCCGATAGATCATTCGACGAAGATTCTGTTTACAGATGGAAGCTTGATGCTTTCTCTAATTATCTAGTCATGGGCATTATCAAAGGGATACTGATAGCTAACATGACTTATTGCTCCAAAGGTAACGCAAACAATGAGAGAACTCCAATCTTACACCTATAAAATTCCCAGAGGTGCCATCCTTTGGAGTTCTAGTCAAAGCCAATATTCCTTTTCTCATCACTTGCAACCCTTCAAGAACAAGGCAAAAACAGCTTTGGCTCAACCTCATCAAAAGAGCTTACTTTGGCTCACGACAGAGAAGATTTGCCATGCGAGAAGCCCTCCCAAACATAGGTGTTGGTTTTCCATTGGTCAAAATCATGTTTTGGGTAACAAAAAAGTGATTCTAGAAAAAGTCAAAAGCAATTGCTTGGGCTCATGTGCTTGACAAAGAAGCACTTGTAGTTCCTTTTTTAATTATTCCATTTTTTATACTTCCGACTAACTGGACAGCTTTCTTTTGATCTCCCTTAGTCATTGTGAACTCCTGAACCTTCTTTCACTCGGTCTCACAAGCACTAAGTTTAAGTAAGTTCTTTCACTCGGACACTTTTCATAAACACTTTGACTTCCCTTGCCTTGTCCGGTTAATCTTTCATAAACAAGCACCCACCACACAAAGAACATACCTAAACGCAAAAAAGAGACACACCTCATTTGTTGTGGTATTTGTGATACAGAGTTTAGCATGGTAACCAAAGAAACCTCCCAATAGCAGACAAACTATCGAAAGAAACACCATGATTAGCAGTTGAGTATTGTAGGA